CGAGACAGGTACATAGTGAAATAATCATCCCCCATGATGTGATCAGCCTTTGGCTGTAAGGAGATAAGGGTGGAATCCAACACTCTCACTCCAGGGGCAGCTCTGATCTGGGGTCAGGGGAGTTCCCCTTGGGGGTGGCCTGCATCACCTCTTACAGAGAACGTGGACATCAGCAGGAACAAGAAAGGAGAGCCAGGAGCGGAGAGCATCCTCCGGGCCAGGGTTCCTGTGCTGGAAAACTCCGAAAACCGGGAGACATAGAGAGAGGATCCGTAGGGATGGCAACCTGAACATGAACTTCTAACCTCCTGATCTGCTAGAGAATAAATGTCTGTTCATCAAAGCCACCCCCTTGTGGCCTCCCTGGTGTAGCAGCACTAGACAACTAAACCTAATCTCAAACACAATGATACTTACCAATTAAAAAGATTACAAAAGGATCTCATCTACTGCAAGACTACTCAAAGATACTTACCAATTAAAAAGATTACAATAGGATCTCATCTACACAGATAGCTGACACCACTGACTTAGGGACAGGTGAAAGAAACATAGTATCACTGGTTCTTCACACAGGCAGAGACAGAATCACTAAATGGCCCAGTAAGTAAAATCCAAGGCATATACCCCAAAGAACAAAAACAAGGGCTCAAAAAGATCATTTTCATCAATACCCATTACACTATTATTCACAAAAGAGAGAAGCAACCCAAGTGTCCATCAACAAATGAGTGGATAAACAACATCCCTTCTACGCACCCGGTGGAGATGGTGTCCCATACCCCAGCTGGGCTACAACTCACAGCCAAGTCTGTGAACAGCAGATCTGACTCATCCTACCCTGCACCATCCTTAATACAGTACTCAGCCAGAAAGAGAGGTTCTGAGCCACGCTCCAACACAAAGGAACCCTGAAAGGACTATGCTGAGTGGAATGAGGGAAGCAGGAAAGGGCAGACATTGTGTGAGCCCACTTGTATGAAATACCTAGATCAGGCACATACAGAGAAACAGATCAGTGCTTAGCACGGATCAGGGAAACGGCAGAAGACTCTCAGTGAGGGAGCCACACAGTGCTTTTAACAATGGGCTCCGTCACAGCCATGACTGCGAGGGGTCCAGGACAGGGAAACAGGGAAACGTTCTGTTATACACAGAGCCACCAGGAGTTGCCTGCATGGCCATCCCTGAGAACAACAGCAAGGGCCGAGGGAAGAGGAGAACCGGGAGTTTGTCACTCTCTGCGCGGAGTGAGGACGAAGTTAGGGAAATAGACAGGGGGGCGGCTGTACAATACTGTGAATCTACTTAAAATCACTACATCCTACACTACAAATGGTTAAAATGGTAAACGTTATTGTCATAGTTTGGACTGCATCGGCCTTCCCAATTACAGACACATGTGGAAGCTTTGTTTGCGCTCCTGAGGTCATTAAACCAAAGAGCAGTAAAATGATTAAGTGCGGGTGGCAGTCTTCATCTTCCCTAATCCCAGCCCAGCCCTTATCAGCTCTAAGGGGAAATCCCCTGGGACATAGCCCATAATATTTTTTTATCTCACTAGAGATAAAAGGGGACATATTTAGGGATACCCTTAGAGCCACCAAGTGGAATTCGAGCTGTCCTTTGACGGAACAATTCTCAGTTTACAGTCCACCTCTAGACGTGTGCACCTGTGTATCAAAAGAGCAAAGGTATCCGGCTTGAAAAAGCACAGCCAGAATGCTCCTCGGAGGCAAGGATGGAGCGATTGCGTCTACCCATCTTTAGGCATGTTGCCAGGAGGGGCCAGTCCCTGGAGAAAGAGATCCTGCCTGGAAAAGGAGGTCAGAGAGGAAGAGGAAGACTCTCATCAAGACGGACTGACCAGAAAGAAAAGAAGAGAGAAGACGGACTGACCCGGTGATTGCAAAGGGGCCCACACAGCAGACACAGACATGAGCGTGACTCAGCCCACACAGCCGGAACAGATGTGAGTGTGGCGAGGCCCACACAGTGGAGACGTGAGCGTGGAGAGGCCCACACAGCAGAGACAGAGACAGAGACAGATGTGAGCGTGGCACGGTCCACATAGCAGAGATGTGCGCGTGGCTCAGCCCACACAGCAGAGACGTGAGCGTGGTGAGGCCCACACAGCAGACAGAGACAGATGTGAGCGTGGCACGGTCCACACAGCAGAGACGTGAGCATGGCTAGGAACTGGCAAGTTTCATTCTATTGTATGGACAGGGTCACTAAGAGTCACAAACAATGCAATAACACTAGCAACAAAAACATGTCTGATAGAAATACATTTCTAGTCGTCCTTACATTTCTCTCCTGCCCCTCCCAGGACTAACATCCATTCTGCCTTCTATAACTAACCAAGAGTTTGCCTCTTTATTAACCTACTGTGACTAAAGCCTCAGGCTGCTCTGCTTCCTTTCTTTCTCCGTGACCCCTGTGCGCTGTATCCACACGGCTGTGGGTCAGAAGTCCATGCCCTCTCATCACTGTGCAGTATTCTGTATACCACCACTGGCTGCAATCAACAGCTTCCAAATGGGATTATGAGGAAAGCAGCACTACTGTTCTGGAACGTATCTCCTTGGTTGTTCACATGCATTCTTTCTCCTTTAGTGAAAAAGTCTTCTCCAAGTCAGAGGTTCTTCTGCAAGTGTGATTTTTAGACCAGCAGCATAAGCATCTTCTGGGAACTTGACAGAAATGCAAATTCTCACCATTTCATTCAAACCCAGACCAGGTCCGTTGCCTTGGAGCTCATTCCAGCACATGGCAGGCCTACAGGGCCTGCAGGGTTGAGCAGCACCGCCCCACAGGGCTGGCACCCGCAGACCAGCACGGCTTTCCACTGTGGAGCAGTCATCAACTCAACCACACTTTAGGTTTCGTTTAAATCGAGCAGATTCTGACTGCTAGCGACCCTGCAGGATGGAGCAGAACTGCCCTTCAGGCTTCCAAGGGTACGACGTTTGTGGAGCTTATAATCTCATCATAGGAGCACGCCGTCTCATCTCTTCCCCACAGAACATACTTAGGGATTGGAACCTCCGGCCTTTTGGGTAGCAGCTGGATTCTTTAACCACAATCCCACCAGGATTCCTCCTTAAGATCTGCTAAATCTGAACCTCTGAGGCCAGGGGTCAGAGTTCACTCTGTGCAGTGATGCTTGGCTGGTAAAGGTTTGACCACTATCATTCAAGGTCAACTGGCTGGGTGCCCAGACTCAGTACAGAGCCTGGCACCTAGGGAGTGTCCAATGAACATTAATCTCCCTAACAGTTCTCACTGGAGGACTGGACACTTTTCAGGAGTCTTGGTGTTGAAGAAACGTAAGAGGGCCTCTGAATATATGGTATTGAATAATTGACTAATTGCCTCCTCGGACAACTGCCTCCAGGGCCAGGAGACCCTCAGCAAGATGGCCTGGCACAGTGATGACAAGAATGGGCTCCAGTCCACAGGGGAGAGAGCATGAGGGCAGCTAGATGAGGATGAGGTGGTGTTCAGCCATCTTCATTGACCATTTCGGTCACAGATTCCAAAGAAAAATCCTGATCAAAAGCAGAGCAATGCAGAACAGGATGTCAAAGGGTCATGGAATCCAGACTCTCTGGAGCATGGAGGCTGGAGGAAGCTCAGCAACTCTACGCCTGAGATCATGAGGTTTAAAGTTTTAAAGGCTTCAAACCAAGATACCAGGAAGTCTTTTTAACCAAACAGTAATTCACCTCAGATAATGAAGAAACTGAGGAGGACCAGAAGCACCTGCTGCAGAGGGTCAAGGACTGCAGCCTTCAGTATGGATTGAGGCTCAATGTCAAGAAGACAAAGATTCTCACCACTGGACTAACTGGCAGCATCAGGATGGATGGTGAAGAGATTGAGATTGTTCACAGCTTTAGTTTGCTTGGCTCCACAGTCAACACTCTTGGCACCAGCAGCCAGGAAATTAAAAGACGTATTGCGATGGGAAAGTCTGCTGTTAGGGACCTCTCCAAAGTGCTGAAGAGCAGTGGTGTCTCTCTGGAGACTAAGGTGCATCTGATACAGGCCATGGTCTTTGCAGTCACTTGTTATACATCAGAGAGTTGGACAAAGACTAGGGAGGATAGAAGAAGAATTGATGCCTTTGAGCTGTGGTGCTGGGTACCATGGACTGCTAAGAAAACAAACAGATTCATCCTGGAAAGGGTTAAACCAGGAGGCTCCTTGGAAGCAAGGATTCTGAGGCTCCGTACTCATACTATATAGTCTGGACATGTTATAAGGAGGGACAATTCCTTGGAGAGGAACATCATGCTTGGGAAGGTGGAGGGACAGGCGCAGGAGGGTAAGGCCCTCTATGAGGTGGATAGATTCAGTGACTGGGGTAGTCGGGATGGGTGTGTCTGAGACAGTGAGATTAGCACAGGACAGAGCAGAGTTTAGGGCTGTTGTACATAGGGTCGCTATGAGTCACAAGTGACTCGACGGCACATAACAGCAACAACAATGAAGACTAGTCTTTTAAGATCTTAAATGTACAGGATCAAATGGATAACAGCAACCGATAGATAAGACCCTCAAGAGACAGTGACCTCCCCCTGGCGAGGGAGAAACGCGCGGTGGGGTAGGCTGCACACCCAGAGAATGTCCTCAGAGTCACTGAATTGTACCTGCGGAAACCGCTGAGTGGGTGTGTGTCCAGCTGTGCACAGACTTCAATAACTAAAGTAAGCCATTCTCTTTAAAAAGGGAACCCTGGTAGCGAAGTAGTAAGGAAGCGCGCCGCGAGAGCCCTAATTCTAAGCCACCAGGTGCTCTGCGGGCAAAGGACCAGGGTCCCTGTCCTCTCCTGCGATTTACTGTCTCAGAAAACCCGCTGGAGGGTCAGCTATGGGTCAGTTCCCACTCGGCGGCACAAGACAACAAAATCATCTCTGCGAAGTGAGGAAGGACAAGGGGTCCCGGTGCGCGCGGCCGCCCCCAGCCCCAGGCCGGCCCACGCCCATACGCACCTCGGCGCCGGCCAGCGGGCCCCCGGCGCGCAGCGCCTGCACCTCCTGGCGAAGGCTGTCCCTCTCCATGCGCAGCTCCTCCGCCTCCAGGCTGCCCTCGCTCACCAGCGCCTCCAGCATCTCCAGGACGCGGACGATCTTGAACTGCAGCTGTGTCACGCGGGGGTCGCTGCCCAGGGCCACCAGCTCGCGGCCCATCACGTAGGAGATGTCATAGACGTCCTCGGCGGTCAGCTGCGAGGGACTCTTGCCCAGGGCGCCCTCGGGCCCGGCCTCGCTGCCCTCTTCCTCCTCCTCCTCCTCCTGTCATAGACGTCCTCGGCGGTCAGCTGCGAGGGACTCTTGCCCAGGGCGCCCTCGGGCCCGGCCTCGCTGCCCTCTTCCTCCTCCTCCTCCTCCTCCTCGGCGGCCTCGCGCACAGCGGGCTCCTCCATGGCCACCAGGCCCCTGCAGCCTCGGCCACGGTGTCTCGGCCTCTCCGAGATCAACTTCCTCCCGGCCGCGGAGAACTTTCCGCTGGGCCGCCTTGGCGGCGGGAGGCGGGGTATCCCGGGGGGCCACCAATCCGCGCCAGGACGCGGCGCTGCGCACGGTCCCCAGAGGACGCGCGGGCCGGCAGGCACCGGGTAGTGGAGGAGGGCAGCCCCGGAGAGGGACCCCGCCGGGAAAGGGGAGGGGGCCAGCGCCGCTCCGAGCCTGGGCGCCCGGGCCGACCCGGGGAGGCGGGGACCTGAGCCCCACCCTTGGGAACCGTGGTTCGCAAGGCCGGGTTTCCATGGAGCCAGAAGGCGGAGTTTCCGCCTTGAGGTCAATGAAAGGGGGTCGGCCGACCCAACTTTTTCCTTTTGCTTTCAAGTTTTCTAGCCCTAGCCCTAGAATGAGCATGGGGTGTGGAGGAAGATCCGGGGTTCGCGGAAGCGCGCAGCAAACGGGGAGGGAGCTGCCGGCGAGCGCGCAGCGGGCAAAGGCCGGGGTTCCGCAAAGCTCCGGCCACGGTCATACCTAGGCCATCCGACTGCATTCTGTCCCTTGGTAAAGTGCACGACTCCCGCCCCACCCACTTTACTTATCTGGGGCACCTTACCCAACCCCTGTGAGCCTCAGTTGCCTCCTCTGTAGAATGGGGCAGTGACAAGACATTATAAAAATACAGACAAATCCAGTGGCACCAATGGCTAACCGCTGCCTGTGTCACACTCATCCTAACACCACCACTGGCTGAAGGGTTAGTGGGATGAACACAGCTTGGAAGCAAGGCCCGGCGGTCAGCTCCTTGGAAACTACAAAGTGAAGTCCCTGCAGACTCATGAAGGCCTGTCCTCTGGCTTCTAACCTTCACGGGAGGACACTGGTATCTTTCTCGCCTGGAGCAACTGGTGGACTTGAACCCCCCACCTTGCAGTTAGCAACCCAGCCTGAAAACCACTAAGTCACCAAGTGTCCTTTGAAAACTGTGTTGTTAAGTGCTCCTGAGGAGACTATGACTCCTAGCAACCAGCCAACATAGCAACAAAGTTCTACTACAACTCAGAACAACTGATCTGCAACTGACCCCATGCAGTACCCCCCTCAACTGCAAGCACGTTATGCACCACATGCTAAAGCCCACTGTCCACTGTGGAGTGTTCCTGGTGGTGGGGTGCTTCCAGGAATATATGAGATCAGGACATAACACGGTGCGGATCAAACCCTTGGAAAGCATTTCAGTACACACAGCTGCTGCAATTTCTTCACTGTCTCATGCACTCTATTTGATGCAACTGCTTGGGTGCCAGGCACTTTGCTACATGGGGACTGGCGTGGTCTTAATCAGGGTCAAAACCGCTGTCCACTTTGACAGCACTTTGCAGATGCAGGGTGTCCGTGTTACCACTGACATCAGCGGTGCAGGTTACAACAACTGGCTTTTTAGTCCAGGTTGTATTGGCTGTCCTGTAGAAAGGCACAGCCGTGGACGCCCCATGGGTAGGGCTGCCCTGTTCTGTAGGGTCCCGCTGACTCTGAATCGGTTGAGCATAGTGGGGAGAGGTTTGTAATCATCACAAGCAGAGCACTCAGCACTGGGACTTTCTCAAGAGCCTACTGGAAGGAAACATGTTTTAGAAACAGATGTCGCTGGTTAACCACAGAAAAGGTCTCGAACCACAGTGGAGAGTGTACAAGGTTAGGATAAACACATACCCAAAAAGCGAACATAACACACATTATTCAATGTTATAATAACATCTGAGATAAAATGTTGTTGTTGTTGTTGTCAGGTGGCATGCAGTCCAGTACAACTCATAGTGACCCTGTGAACAACAAATCTGAACCTTGTCCTCTCCTGTGCCAGACACAGCACACCCAAGTCCGAGCCCACTGCTGCAGTCACTGGTCACTATCTATCTGGTTGAGGGCCTTCTGCTCTTTCCCCAAACCCCCCCTCTCCAAGAATGATGTTCCACTCCAAAGAATCTGTTATTAGGCTTCTCAGAAATCAAACTCAATGCCATCAAGGCGATTTGACCCACAGACACCCACCATCATGTTTCTGGGGCTGAAAATCCTTATAAGAATGTGTCCATCTCTCTCCCTCCGAGCCGCTGGTAAATTCAAACCACTGGAGAGCTTTAGCCTTAACGCATGTGGCTCTGACACACATTAACTACCACACGGGTGAGTTCTAAAAATAGGACACTGAGAGAACGAAGGCAGACACAAAAGACCACTGACTGTACAACATTATGGTGTTTTAGTGTTAAAAGCAATAATTTAAACACAATCATTTGAAAAAATACTACCACATTTTAAGCCATATTTTTGTATTTCTTTTTAAAATTCTCTCCCACAAAAGACAAAAACAACAAAAGAAAACAAACAAAATACTCTCTGGCACCCAGAACAAGGTCAACAGAAAAAGCAAAATGTTACTGAATTTCATTTTTTAACTTTTATTCCCAGACCCTTCAGTACCCAAGTCCTTGTTGAAAGTTCCATATGCCGCGAAATTTTAATTTCTCCCCATAAATTCCCCTTTTTAGGCTCCATTTCTTCCTTCTTCTGTGCTTTTTACCCTTTTGCTAAGTAGTTAAAACCAGGAGGTTATTAATCTGACTTTAAAAATGTCAAAAGGTTTTCCACAGAGTAGCTGCACTTTGATATTAAAAATCGAGGCTCCTTTGTTCATTGATTTAACAATGTATTTCCTGAGCATCTACTCTGCATCCTGTAGAATTTTAGTGACAAGGACTGTGACGTGAGTTAGCAAGCAGTCCCTCATTTGAACCCGTGATAGTTTCTGGCTTGTTTCACAAACTTGCCTGGTTTCCTCATCCCTTCAAAACTCCGTTTCCGTATGGTAAGTAAAGTGCGGCAGGAGAAACAGTCTCTTCCCCACGGCTGATGTGACGATTAAGTGGGTTTATGGATGAAAACTGCCCAGCAACAGTGAATGATGGCTTTCAGAAATGTCAATAAATGTATTTTAGATGGTTCATTAAAGTTCATAACCTATTGTTATATGACTGTAGCTCTTCTCTCTCCCTCTGCAATGCAAAATTACAGCAAAACCCACAGTAACAGAGGTTCTGAAACTGTGGTTCTTAAACCAACAGCATCAGCATCACCTGACATCGTGTTAGAACTGCAAACTCATGAATACCATCTTAGTCCTACTGACTAAAAGCTCTGAGGTAGGGCCTAGCAACGAGTGTTTTAATAAAATTTCCAGATAATTCTGATGCACTTTAGTTTGAAAACCAATGAGAGTGGGTTCCACAGCTGGACCACAAGAGTTCAAATCCTGTTCTGCTGAATAGAAACAGTTTGACGAAAAGCAAAAAAATTACTCCCTGGGGCTCAGAGTTCCCATCTGTAGACTGGGGATCATGAAAGGATCTGTTTCATAAGATCTTATCAAGCACTTATAAAAGTGTCTATTACATAAAGAAACAACAACAAAATACAAAACAAATCAAAGTGTCTGTTGTCGTTGGATGCCACTAAGTTAATGAATGATGACTGAAATCGACCCTGCGAACAACACAAGGAGACCTTGGCCTATCCTTTGTTACCCCCACAATCTCTGAAGTTCAAGTCTACTGTTGCAGTCACTGTTGCACTGTGACAGTCTTATCTTGTGGAGGATTTTCCTTTTTCTCGGAACCTTGTATTTTTCTCAACAAGGTGTCTTTTTGCAAGGACAGACTCACCAGAAAAGTATTACACAATAAATAATAAATACATACTCAAAATTTCAAGGGGGCTTCGGTGGCTTTAGTGGTAGGAAGTTGTGCTGCCAACCCAAAGCCATGGTTCAAAGCCATCAGTTGCTCTGAGGGAGAAAGGCATCTCCCCTTCTCCTGGATGGTTTACAGTCTCTGAAAATCCCCTGGAAGGTAAGCTATGAGGTATTACTGACTTGATGGTGGTGGTTGTTATTCTTATGTGCCGTGGAGTCGCTTGCAACTCATAGCGACCCTATGTACAACAGCCTTAAACTCTGCTCTGTCCTGTGCCAATCGCACTGTCTCCGACACCCCCATCCCGATTATCCCAGTCACTGAATCAATCCACCTCATAGAGGGCCTTCCTCTCCTGCGCTGTCCCTCCACCCTCTCAAGCATGATGTCCCTCTCTAAGGACCAGTCTCTCCTCACAACATGTCCAAAGTATGTTAGACGGAGCCTCAGAATCCTTGCCTCCAAGGAGCCACCCGGTTTAACCCTTTCCAGGACGAATCTGTTTGTTTTCCTAGCAGTCCATGGTATTCTCATAAATTTCAGCTATAACCTTTTTATTTTGCTTTGGAGGAAAGTTTACAGAGAAATTGGTTTCCTACTTATTCAAACAGATTTTCCCTTACGGTATTAATTACAGTCCCACTTTGTAACAACACTCTTCCAATTTCACCCCTGTGATACTTGTTTCCACTTATCCCTCCACCCTATCCCTTCCTCCTTTCTGTGCTTTCTCCCTGAGCGAATAGGTCCCTTTTTATCTTGAAGAATAATTGTTTTAAGGAATACAATACTCTCTCCTCAGAAGCAGGAGTAGTGGCATCCACTTCTTAAACAACATGCCTCTGGAAACTCAAGGAAATTTTGACAAATGATGATAGTTATAGAAAGGCTTCAGGCCTTTTGTTCATAGCATCGCTTGACTCAATGGCAATCAACAATAACAACAATACTCTCTCCACTTTATAAGCATGTCTATTGTTTGGCTGAAAGTTAAGTTACAATAATGAGTCTTTTTTTTTAAAAAAAAAGAGTGAGTTTAGTTGTAGGCTCATAGACATGGGGGGCTTCTACCAGTCTTTAGGAGATCAGAAAGCCTTTTTATACTTTAATGAACTATTATTATTATAAACTATTTTTATTACAAAAGTATTAAGTAGAGATAATAAAGTTCCCAACTTTGTATCATTATTTGGGAACAGGATAGGTGGTAGGGT